ATTTCGACAACGCTTACGAGTGTCATCGAACATTTTATGATACCTATCTCCTTCATCGTGTTAATTAGATAAACTTGCAAATATTCGTTTAACGTAATTACTATTAATTAATTCAGTAATATCTTTTCGTATGAATAATTCAATTCTTATTGAAACACACCTGTTTCAATAAGATCCTGGTTAAATTCCATGCTGTTTAAATAGCCTTTAAAATTCTAATGTGATAATCTTTTATCAACATTATAGCAAATACTGATATTACCAATCTAGTTCCATTTTTTAATAGAATATCTATTCTACAATAGCGATCCGTATAACAGACTAGGCCACGTCTTAGAATGAAACTATTACGTATCCTTATATCAGGAAAAAAGTCTGCTCTGGCTGGTAGCAAGAGCAATCGTGGGCACCGAAAGGCAACCAAATGTGCCCGGGTTGCCCAGATCAGTACATAGGATAATAACGAAACAAGCCTGTCGTTTAAGACAAGCTTCCGTTTCACCGTTCGCCGACAATTTAGTCGCACGCTATAATTTTCTGCTCGTTTCGTAGAATAAAGATCGTTGATTCTGTAGCTCTTTACCTAGCACCGTTTACCAAACTCAATGACGAAACGTTGCTCGTTCGCTTTACGCACCTTTTACCATTCGTTCGATTTGTAATCGCGCGAATTACGAGCACAACGTGTCTTGTAATACAGTTGAAATAGAAAACTATTACGTCTTTAAACTTCCAGTTTTACTCGCTTCTATAATAGTTTAGAACACGACGACGAGAGGTTTGTCCTTCGTTTGTTACAGTACTAAACGTCAATCCCACTACAAGTCCCACGCGGGTATAAATTTAATGTCTTCTAGTGACACGAGGGTCATCGTTGGCCATTGCTACGAATTCAATTTGTACAGATAATTAATTAATTTCTTGAAACTCTTGAAACATTAATGATGCTTAAATGTAAGTAGTATGTAAATTGTACGTATGGATAGTAATTATTTTATCCGTAATTAGGTAATGAATAATTACGCAAGTGTACATTTTTATAAAATATTTGTGTCTCTTAGCATCCTCTAATTTACTTTGAAAATCTACAAGAGGCTGTGTCGAATATCCGTCATTAATTATGTCCGGATAAGGCGAGTTTGACTATATTTCAAAAGAGGCCATTGTTAAACATCGCGATCGATAAGACCGGAAAAAATTCGTGAATATTGATAAGCCTTAATAACGTAGAATCTTAAGCATGCGCACAACAATACGTGATCCCATGGAAGTTGAAAGGAGGGCACATGTATAATCATCGAATTATCATCATCGAACTGTTCTGTCATCATATCCACATCGTTGTGCGGATTTAATCGCATTTGCTTTATTTACCTTGCTAAACGGTAATTCACCTTTGCAACTTGAGGCCAGTTGCCATTTGCTCACCCGTGAGGGAAATAATTGAAATCGGTATTTTAACCCCTTTTTGACGAGGCGCTAAAGGGGTAACAAAAATGAAGATAAATTTTTGTGGATCAAACAATATTTCAAAGTCCATGGTAACGAGTTACGTGATGCGATCATTATCAGAAAGGATTGAAAAATCTTTAACCATAATAGCCCCAAAATTCCTAGAAGGTCATAGAGAAGTTCAAAGACAAAGTACGATACGTTTCGAATCCGAAAGTCGGCATACGTCGAAAGACTGCGTAGATAGAAGGAATGTTAATGAAATTGATGATCTTGAAGCGGTGCTATCGACGTACGTACAGTGGCTCGGAAAAATATTCGGACACTCTTTAAAACAGAATACCTCATTTATAATTGGACCAAATGACATGAGGTTTTTTGAAAAGTTATAGAAATTAATTTACTAAGATATGTTCATTGGCCGTTTTAAAAAATTACAATTTGTTGAAAACGTGAAAGAAAATAGTGAAAGGTAATTTTTCAATTTTTTTATGTGAGCCTATAATGAAAATTTCTCAAATAACCTCAAGTCATTTGGTCTAATTTTAAATAAGGTATTCTGTTGTAAAGAGTGTCCAAATAATTTTCCGAACCACTGTATATGACTTCGCCATCTTCTTCGCGACCTTGAACTTATCACGTCCTTTGGTATTTTATGTTAATTCGGCCCTCTTGTCGCAATCTTTGTGTGAAAATATTCTTATATTCTAGGTTTTCGAAGATTGTTCGACCTTGAAAGAAATTACGACCTCCACGAGTACCTAATCAACGATATTGGTCTTGAAATATGGTCGATCATGGGTGTAAACAAAGTTTAGAACATTGGGCGGCAATGCTATGATATATGAGCAGTAATTAATGGATTTGAGTGTCGCAACATTGACATTGGCTACTTTGAATTTATTTCTATTAAGAAAGATAAGGAAATCGAGTGTGCGAGCGTTAATGTGATTGGTGAACGGGATCAATGCCCTTTCAATAACACTCTGCTCATTTAAATGTCGTTAACGAATTAATACAGTATTTATCACGGTTGAGAATACGTTGAACTCTGCGAGCGAAACAAACGCGGGCGGAAGTTAACGATCAAAGGTCGTTCATCAGATTTTCGGGTAAGGTTCCTATGGATCATTGATCTTTGCTCCAACGAACAGTGCCGAAAGCCGAGTTTGCATCGAACTTGACTTAAGCGACATTGAAATTACGTCACCGGCCGAAAACGTTTTTGTCTCCTGTCCAAACCAGCCGGATTTGATCCCACAATTTTCGACTAGTTCTTTGATATTTAAAAATTTCCACTTGGAGATAATCAGTTTCCTATAAAGGCAACGAATGAACCAATAATCACCTTTTTTGTTTTAATGATTCATTGATATTTTTATTTAATAATTGATATTCGATTAATTGGTATTACTTTTTCATTGAAACACGTGTTCGTGTAATTTGTAACACTTAAAGTATAGGTGACATTTGCGTCTCATGTTTAAAATCTTTTTATCACTACTTCTACAACGTCACTATAACACTCAAAGTACGTAATAGTTATAAATTATTGATTTCTGTTAGACCATAAAACGAAGGAAAAATAGTGTAATTAGGCTACTGACAGTAGATTGAACGTAAAATATACACTTTGTATAAGATGTTATTAACCTATGACATCAATGATAATGCTTTTGTCTACAAAGAACTTTATTTTTATGTTTTACTTGAAATTCTCTAGTTCACCGAAACGAAACCTGGCGATTTCAGTTACTAGATGATAAATCGTGGTAACAAGCAACAAAAGTGCAAGTCACACCTTGAATTGTCTAAGAAAGCGTACCATAAATCGTTACGTTTTTACTTTCTATATAAGAATGGAATTCCCGTTGTCGTGGAAATCGATGAATCCTGCGGTGATAGAAAAATTAAAGGAGAACGAGTTGATTAGCAAGTTTTTATTAATACGTCTGTCGTTATGAATATTTTACATATTCGTTGAAACGTCTGATTAGAGGAATCTGGTTGTATAATATCGTTTAAAAGTGTTTGCTCATAGTTCAATGATCACTTAATTATATTGATACAATTTTGAAAAGTAGTTAAGCAGGGGAATTTACTTTTTCTGCTGCTGAATTATTTATTAAAATTCAATAGGAGTTAAGTTTAAGTCAAATTAAGCATCATTTTATTGATCTTTACACGAAAGTCTATTAATTAAGCCCTTTAGTAATTCCTGGTTTCATCTATTAATCGATCAGGATTAGAATTAAACGTATTAGGATTAAACAAATCTTGATAATACAAGTTACTCCATTACTCCAGATTACCCTTTTTAAGAAATAGATAAAATGTTGAATCTGTTATGGTATTGAGATGAGTTTTTTTTTAAATTTTATTTTTTGCATTAAAACACTTAATAAAGATTCCCAGCAATCATGTAAATTCGTGTAACACACGTGGAGAATTTGCATTGACGTTTTCAATATATTGTAAATGTTAAAAAAATATTGTCCCCAGGCGATTTTTACAAGGATTCTGCAATCGAATTGTAAATCACGAATTATATATCGCTGCGAAAGGAAAAAGAAATGAAAGCTGTTCTGTAAATAATCGAGGTGTATTCAGTTTAACAAATATCAGGTACATACTCTTCGCAAGATAAATCATCAAACGTATTTCTATTTTTTGGCCAATCCTGTCACGATTAAAAATATTTTAAAATATTTCAAAATGGTGCGTAAAAAAGTGGTAGAAATTTTGTTGTTAACTTCCAAATAAATGACATTGGTTGTTCATTATTGCAATATAGTTTATGACATATTGTTTGATGTAAAATTTCAATAAACATCCATATGTAACGATAATCTCTTCGGGATTTAAAAAAACTTAATTCGGTTCATAAATTTGATAATTTGTCGTGGAATATAACAATAGCCTTGAACGTCTAGACGTACCTTTGGGTTTTTACTGGTATAGAAATTTTAAATTTAAATGATGTACATCGATCTTAAAATAGCGATTAACACGCACTGTTAATATTTTATCCTATAAATTATTAAATTCCATAAAAATCATATAATTCCAGTAATAGTATATTGCTTTCATGAAAACCAATGTGCGTCAGTTAGCCAAGAGGGGATACACTAACGTCACTATATATTATGCGTACGTAAAAAGTGTGCAATTATTAACGATTTACTTTTTTACTTCTTCTACGTTCATTAAAACATTGATAAAATTAAAATGAATTGGTAACAATGGAACCTCTAATGTTGATGGTATTAAAGTCGCGACACGATATCTTAACGTCGTAACACCACGGTCCTTAGTCTCGTGACATCGAATGTCACGATCTTCCGAAGTCAGGCTTCGGGATGATTGACGGAAGTTTAACGAGCCGGTAAACGAAACGCGATAAGATTCACAGGTGAAATGAGTCGTAAAGGGGACGAAACAGGAAGATGGTAAAGAGCGGGATGAGTCGCGACTTTGACTAAATAAAAAAGGTGGTCGTCCGTGAAGTATAGCGCGCATCGTGAACCGCCGAAGGATCGCAACAGGTAGAAGGGATGTGATACCAATATGGCGACTCGGTTAAAAGCAAACAACCGGCGTAGCCGCAGTCAGTCCGCTACACGGCACGGCGGTAAACGCGTTTGTTTGTACGGTTATCAGAATCTGTGTCGTCGAAGCACGAACGCGCACAATCCTACCCTTTCTTCTTCTTATTTTTCCCTTTTTTTCTTTTTTTTTTCTTTCTTTTTTTTTTAAATTCTTTTTCATTCGCTCCCTTCGATCGATTCTTTATCCTGTCGGCTGGTTTTACGAAACGAAGGGAAGTCACGTGACTCTGTCATCGATCCGTTGTGCCTGATTATTCGGTACCTGTTCGTCTTCCGTGATCAACGACCAGTTAACGAAAAACCGTTTGCAATCCTCTCTTTGTTTCTCGGCGGTCGTCGATGTGTCGACGAGGGAACAGTGTGTGTTCGATTGTTTGAAGAGCCGATTGTCGACAGATAATTGTCACTGGCGCGACTGTCGCCCGGCTTCGTCTGGTAAGTGCGGGTAACGTAACACTGCTTTTGGAAGCGCTTCTTTTCTTATTTTGCTTGATATGACGTAACGGATATCGCTAACGATAATTGATAGACGCGTTGATCGATAGCCTCGTCGTTAGTTTAGAAATCCGGAGATAGTGATTGGAATTTGATGTACACCGTAGGTGCAAAATAGACTTCTTGTGGTTAAGGGGAGAGAGACGAGGGTAGGAATTAGGGAAGAACCTGATACGACCCTTGAACAATCGGCAGTTCTCATTTTCCAATTTTTGGTCCATCTTTCTTCCTAGATCTGAATCACAATTAACTTGATATTTTCGTTATTGTATCATCTATTAAGAAAGTCATATATACACGCTGTTCGTCATATGAATCTATGTTTGAAATTTGATGAATACGTTATTTTTATACTCTTAGAAATTACGTATTTTTAGATTCCCAGGAAGTATCTTTGTTACGTGGCTCGATATTAATTCAACGTTCGCCTTCTTGTATTATATATTAGGTATGTTAGTAATACGCTTTACAAACCGTGAATGTACATTACTTATTTCAATATTTTTAGGAAATATTTTCGTTCTTTCCTGTCTCGATGTTTACTTTCCTGTATTAGGCCTGTGTATTAGTTGTAATGCATGTTTCATTTTCAAAATGCACTCCATGTTTATAAAGATAATTTGGCTTCTTTCATTCGATATCTGATCGATTCATAATTTTGTGAACATTGTATCTATTATTAATTATTATCTATTCGATTATCTCACGATTGTTTGCTAACAAGTACCACGCGATCGGTCGTAAACTAAGAGAGCTGTATTTCCACGATACGGGCACAGATATAATTGTACGAAAACAAATACATACACGATCTGAAGAGGAGTCTATGTCTGCTCCAGCGCTGTGACATTGTGTTTGCCTCGATATTAAAAGATTAAACTACACTTTGGTCAATTTTAGCAAAAACAGTTATTTTGTAATAAAAAGTAACGGTGCGACGGTGGTGGTTTCTCGAATATTGGTTACAGGTAACCGATGACACCGATGAAGTCATTGCACGTTTAACCAAGCTCATCGTGTAAAAGTCTTTCCCTCTTCTCATCGTTTCGTTCATCTTTCTCCATCACGAGTACTTTACCGTGAATCACCATCCACATGAACAGCCGATTCGAACTTCGATTCACGTTCTACTCGATCGCGACTACCTTATTCGATCGGCGTACACACTTATGTATGTACCTCTGCTTCTTTCGTCTTCCATCCTTTCCAGACCGCAACATTTCGATTTCACGTGCGTTCTTCAATCGTTTCAAATTACTTCAAATTACTTTTAGGTACCAGATATGCAGATTGAAATTTTATTTTATTTCCTATCCACCCTCTCTTACCAATGTTGTTATCAATAAATAATCGCCACAAGATTGATTGAATATAAAATTGAATATTTGAGCTGGCACTCGTCGAAACAATTAGGAACGGATTAGATATCGATTCTTAATTGCCAGTGTCATGTTATTTTCCGTTTATTAACCGTATTCCATTCTAATCGGTAGTTTCTATAATTACATAGAGTGCACGAAAAAAACGTGCATAACACATTTTAATGATTACACATTTGTTGATATTACCTGATGCTTTCATTGCATGTTATCTCTGTCAAAATGCACTATCATTTTCTGATATGTTGATTCAATGTAAACTACCACTTTTTTTTATATATATAAATGTATTCATATATGCAAATAATACCAGTGAGTTATAGAGCCAGGAAAAAAAGCAAATGAAAAGTAATCATTAAATTTCAAAATTATACTTTTTTGTTTGCTTTGCTAAACGAACGAACAGGTAGTTTTAAGACAAAGAAACACTTCCTTTTTGTATTCCCTCGATTGTACGGACGATTCGAAACGCATATTAATCGTTGCTGGATCATTGCTCGCGAGGATCTCGTGAGCCGGAATAAACGAATCTTGTGCTAATTGCTGATTCGATCCTCGAAACTTTTCGTCCTTCGTTTGATCTGATACAGGCAAGATTTCGAGACTTCCGCAAAAATTTGTCGCGGACTCAGAAATGTCAAGGTTTCTCCAATTTTCGTGGAAGACGTTCCACGTGCAACGATTTTGAATCGTCGTGCTCCTTGAAATAGCAAAAGAACGTTCTCCTCGGTTCTTTTTCATGTCTTTTTATATTTCTTTTTTTTTTTTTTTTTTTTTCTAGTAACCGTCTTCCGCAAACAATATTTCTACCTCGTAGAAGGTTTCTACGAATTCTATCTACTTTAGCAATCGATTACACGTTGCTAATAGATTGAGTCAGGGTTCAAAGTTTGCATAAGCAGAAGTTGCGTCGATTTCACGTTAAAGTGATCATAGTTATCGTTGTATTAATAATCTTTTATTTAAGTGGACAGATCGTTATCTTTTATTCATAGTATAAGTAACGAACGTTGTTCCGTTTATGATATCTAGTTATAGCCAGAAAGATTGATTGATTGACCAGTAAAAAAAATATCGGCATCTTCAAATTGTTAGTTTCCTCTGCAAACATTATTCCATACTCGTAGAAGGTTTCTCTGAATTCTAGTTACTTTGACGGTCAACTATTATGAGTTGCTAATAGATTGAATCAAGGTTCAAACTCGTTATGAACAACATTCGTGTTTCGATGCTAAAATGTTTATAATTATCTATGGATTAACAATACTTTTTTATCCAAATTTATTTGAAGACTATTAAAATATCAACACACATGCAATTGAATTAGCGAAAGTGTTCGTCAATTTTACTGGTGGAATAGGTAATGAAACATTAATTCGTTTGTAATGTATTCAATTAAATCATATCAACGTGTTAACGATTATTCGGTCCCTCTAATTTCCACGTCGTCTTATCAACTTACGTTTTACAAGATGTAAATACAATTTATATTTATAAATGATAGAGAGGTAATAAAAAGTATATCTTGGAAACGTGTTTTATCGATCGCGGTTTTTAATCCGCTATGCATATTCATGATGTTTCGGTTAATAATGCACGTGTCTCTCTGACAAGAGTGACGTCGTGCGTGGAATGATAGCATCGGTCAAATGCTGCGAAACAACAAATTAAACGTCCGACCTCCGTCTTTCGAAGCCTTGGATACACGCGCGATACGGAAGTTTTTGGCTCGCGTAATTCGCAATGAATTTGCAATGACGATAAAGCATGATGCATCTTTCATGCTTTCGTCGTTAACTCGCTTGAAACGAAGGTAACATTTTTTTCTAACCATGTTACAAGTATTTGCCCGACGATTAGAGTAATGGCGTTTGTTTGTCCGGGTGGTCCGAGATGTCGAAGTCTCTAGTACCTAGAAGTCGAACCATCGTCTTCGGCTTCCATGCCTCGGTGTAATAAACGCGAGAGATTATGGAAACATAGCGTGCCGAAATTGATCAAAAATCGATGATTTCTCTGATAACATTCGATACACGTTCGTTGGAAACTTATCTGTTTAGCTATTACGCGAGAGGACGTTGCGACACTTGGCAAATTTTCTGAAACACGCCGAAACGAGTTTTGCTTTCTCTCTGTACTTTTTAAACATCCCACCAGATGGTCGATTACTTTCGTACCCCGAATGGAGCAGATTAGGAAAAAGAAAAAATAAAAAGAAAAACTAATTAGGTACCATACGTTAATGGGTACCTTGCACGAATGACGTTGATAAAATGCATTCGATTTCAAAACCTCCATGCTGGAAGTTTCAAAAAAAGAATTCGTGGGGTCGACAGTTTTCCACGCTGAACTGGTCGAATGATACTTAATACCATTAGCTTTAAGTGAAATTCTTTTCCATAAGATGGCCGATGAGCTGTAGGTCACCCAGATGTGGGTGACTTCGCGTGACTTCGATTGAAAATCGATCACTATCGCGAGTCGATGCCTGAAATTTGCTAAATAAATGATTTAACACGTACGTTAGCATTCTCGTTGTACTCCTTCTAATAATTTCGAGGTTGGTAGCTGTACGTTCGGTGTCGTTAAGAAAGAACTTTAATACGATCGTTACATAAGAGGATTCTCTTTCCCTCCCTCCCTCCGTTCTCTGTGTAACCAACATCCCGCCATGCAGTACCATTAAAGCGTTATGGCAGCTCTAGACGCTTTGCAACTTGACGCATGCAGCTATGCACTTTCCCTGCAGCCGCAGGTGCAGCTAGCAATTCGATAGACAACGAATCATGATTGGAACGGATAAAAAAATCGATCGATCTTCTTGCTTCGACACCGTCTTCCTCGATTAAATTCTACGAACGAATAACGAGGATTGTTATCGGAAATAGACGTGATCTTTCAAGGTGATCTTTCGAGTATAGTTCCTTGAATTTTGAAATTCGTGCGAAGTTGTAAAATTTCAGTTCGATCGACATTGTCGTGGCAAGATTGTGCAACGATTACGAATTAAATTCGATTTTCTTTTATGGCATTTCTAATTCACCACGTATAGAGAAGACAATTCGTAACAGTGGTTAAGAGTGAAAGTATTTTAATCTTCTTTCCTGAGGGTACCAATAGATTTATGAGATTGAAGTAGCCTTCTTCTGGACGAAGAATCGTTTCTTCCTTCTTTTTTTTTCTTCTTCGTACATTTAGAAAGTATGCAAAATAGTAGTCGTTACTTAAATGAAACTACTGGAATGTTTGAACAAATGAATTTCTGAAAAAGACACTCAAATTTGAGTCTTTTAATGTTTGACTAAATATCTGAAATAGCTTTTTTACGAGTAAGCCAGATACTAAATGCAACAGTGACTACTTTTTGCAAGCAATATCTAAATATTGGACTTGTCTATGTATTTGGGTCTTTTACGACACCGTGCAGGGGCAGAGAACAGAGAGAACCGGTTAAATAGACGATTAAAACGTCACTCGTGGTAGATAAGTTTACGATTTTCTGCTCTACTAACGTTAACCACCACTTATTTTATGTTATTCGTTGAATGTTGCAAGCGGCGTGGTTAAAAAT